ATAAATCTCCTCCCCCTCCCCCCCCCCCCCCGGAAAAATGCTCCATAATTCACGATTAAAGTAAAGATTACTGCTTATACAAATCACCTTTGTTATATTGCTTTAAATATTGTCAGGTAATTTATTTACACAGGCATTGGATGCTAATCGACAAGAACAACAAGCTCATTACTCAACGGAAATGTCCACGCCTTGTTTTAGTGAAGCCCAGTATCCGTGACAACGCTCTCTGCCTTGACGCGCCGGGTATGGAGACACTGACGTTAAAACCACGTGGGCCTGGCGAGATTGGACAGGTGATACAGACTGAGTAAGTACATGGGACACTGGGGACAAATTTTAACCCAAAAGTTGGTCTTCACTTTTCGATTTAAAATTCGAAGTACATCTGTTAAAGATGAACCCGAAATAGTATGCTTAAACTAGGTAGGCTTACTTGGTTGTCTGAAAAACGAGTCATATCTTTTTAAATTATTGTTTTTCTTTTTATCAAGAGCTTATAAAATATGTAGGTATTACCTCCAATATTTCTGTGACTGTCAGTCACCATCATCAGGGAGTAAATGACTAGGGTCATTTCACCTGGAATATAAATCCAGGTCAATTACCCCTAAATATTGGAGGTAATACCTACATATTTCATAAGCTCTTGATAAAAAGAAAAACAATAATTTAAATTGATACATACAGAGCTAATGAAACTCTTCTCTCATTTACGAGTCATATCTTTCTCGTTATAAAATACGTGCAACATCTTAACTACTTGTTCTTATTCTGATTTATTATGGGTCAAAGTGCACTGGTATTTTAGCCAAAAAACTTTCACCAATTCTTGGGTTTAATATCTTTTATGAGGGTTTCACTGTATTTACTAATTAAAATTACTTGTACCAATTTCGAATTAATAAAGCTATCGCTAATTTATGTATATGTTAAATTGTATCAGTTGATTTTGAACACGAGCGGCAGCACAATAAAGATATTGTGGAGTGCAAAACTACTGGATGAAAGTCACTGTGTGTGTGTGTGTGTGTGTGTGTGTGTGTTTGCGCTCGTGTGTGTTTGAGAAAGAGAGAGAGAGAGAGGAGAGAGAAAGAGAGATACGCTTTCAAAGAAAATATCAGGAACAACTTTTCTTTTCAGTTTATTCGGTGATGCCGTGAAGGCTGTGGAGTGCTGCAGTAAAGCCAGCGCTTGGTTCAGTGCTTATCTCAAGAAACCAGGGTGCAGACTTGTCTATGCCCATCCTACGGTGACTCGGAGGCAGATCAACAAAAGTCCGCCATTGCTAACCGTACCCTTGCTGGCCAAACCTGAAGACAGTGACTTGGTAGGTACATCGTACATTGCTATAACTTCACACTTTTTAAGTCCATGCTATCTGGGATTTTCCCGCCATATTAAATTTTCTCGAAAATTGTGATACGTCATCCAAGTTCAAGGATTCGTAAAAGGAAAATTCATTTATAATTGATTAACGTTTTTATGTTGCCAAAATATGAAACCAAACCAATAAGCTCGGGAAGAGAACACGTGCATGTAAACTGTTAATTATATAATAACGCTCCTTAAAATGATTCACTATAATTAACATTCCAGTCAGCGTTCCCGGACTGGGCACCGTACAGTTTGCTGTCCGAGGCGTCCATTGCTGATGTTAATTCCCGGCTGCCCGACAACTGTAAGAAAGCGGGTGTGTTGAACTTCAGGCCCAATATGGTGGTGAAAGACTGTGGTTGTTATGAAGAGGTACGTTTTTTTATACCTGTGCATTTAACAGTCATGTCACAGAATAGATATAGATAGATTATACAGTCATTATATCGACCGCAATGGACCATCAACATTATCAATTTGGTCTCTTTTCAGTGCTTGTCTAACTTATGTAGCCCATGTTGTTTTGAAAATTATTCTTTTAAAAGTTCACGATTTTTTTCTGCAGGACAACTGGTGTGAGATATACATCGGCCAGCAGACAAAATTCCGAAATTTGAAAAAGACGCTGAAATGCATCTTGACCACGGTAGACCCAGATACAGGAGAGATGGGGGAAAATATGGAGCCCTTGAGAACACTGAGGAGGTGACGCTTTTACACCTGTATTGTATTTTTTATTCCCTTGAATATATATTGTAATCATCCAACCCTTTAATCAGTCTGCTTACATGATTGCAAGATTATTTACATTATAATTTTTAATGAACATTCAAATTTTGTTCTTATTTTATGAAAGAGGTGATGAAAAAGGGACGTCTTNGGGGGGGGGGGGGATCTGACCAAAATAGCTATGGACAAAAGAATCTTCACAAGTCTATTATAATAACATAGCTAATGAAACTGTTCTACACTATGAAGAGGTACGTTTTTTTATACCTGTGCATTTAACAGTCATGTCACAGAATAGATATAGATAGATTATACAGTCATTATATCGACCGCAATGGACCATCAACATTATCAATTTGGTCTCTTTTCAGTGCTTGTCTAACTTATGTAGCCCATGTTGTTTTGAAAATTATTCTTTTAAAAGTTCACGATTTTTTTCTGCAGGACAACTGGTGTGAGATATACATCGGCCAGCAGACAAAATTCCGAAATTTGAAAAAGACGCTGAAATGCATCTTGACCACGGTAGACCCAGATACAGGAGAGATGGGGGAAAATATGGAGCCCTTGAGAACACTGAGGAGGTGACGCTTTTTCACCTGTATTGTATTTTTTATTCCCTTGAATATATATTGTAATCATCCAACCCTTTAATCAGTCTGCTTACATGATTGCAAGATTATTTACATTATAATTTTTAATGAACATTCAAATTTTGTTCTTATTTTATGAAAGAGGTGATGAAAAAGGGACGTCTTGTTTGATGCTGACCGTTGTTTGGCATTCGTTTATTTCTCATTTTTAACATTAACCGTACTTGGGTGTTACATGTACTCTGATTTGTGCTTCATAAATTAAACGCCCGGAAACGTTTTTCAGCTTGATATGGTCGGCACGCAGAGTATTTATTTTGATAAATCATCTTCTTACTTTAAAACATGCAAAAATTGTTGTGGTCAATTAAAATGATAATGATAATGATAATATTATAAATTTGTAGGTCTGCCTATTTTAGACAACAAATGTCAAATGATCTCACGATGTCTTTTCTCGTTTCAGTTACCGTCTGGTGCCTGGGGGAGATAGATCGCCGGCGTTGTCCATAAGTCTTGGTATCGATAAATTGGGAACAATTCGTATTGGAGACCACGTTTATGCCACGAAATTCTAGAACTTAAAACAAACAAAGACAAAATCGGAACAAAATCAACGTGCGACATGATCAAATATAAATTTGCCCTGTTGTTCATTGTATGTTGCTTTGCTCTTGGTGATTGTTGAAATTTAGACGATTTTAAGAAATACACAAATTGAAAAGCTATAGCAAAGAAAAGTGTTTTGAATTGCCTTTTATTAAAATATGCCGTATACATCTTAAATTTATTGGGCACTAAATGACACACGGGTATATTTGCTCTCTAGCTAATCCACATGTTACACAATAGATAGGTTTTGTGAGAGGAAAAGACCCATAAGCACCAATTAAACTTGTGATTTTAACATAAATCAAATAAATAATAATCCTTGTGTTTATTACCTCTAGCAAGAAGTTTTCACCGCCATTTGTCTAAATGTGACCGACTGCCTGTCTGTTTGTCACCAGCCTAACTAAAAAAATCGATAGATAAATGGATTTCGACAATTATCTTTCGGACAGGCCAGAAATGGGGTAATTTTAAAGGGATGAAATATTTGTGATGATCCGTGATCCGGTGTGACAGGAATTGTAGTCTCAGGAATGGCAATCCGTTAGGAACTGTACCGGTAGTCCGCTTCCCATTACTTTGTACAGGTGACATTCGTCCCATATATTGACCCCAATACTCCAACTGACTCTAACCTGTACTTATTATATGGGAGCCCGGACTTCCATTCCTAGGGAGTCCATTCCTGTCACACCGGGTACAAAGCGTACTTAGGTAAACACAATGACATCACTGCATGACATGTAGTTTTTCAGTGGGGAAAAACACACAAGTTAAATAGAGTCATTTACACAAATGAAATATTCTGTTTCGTTTTTCACTGCTTTCACACATTTACACACCGGGATCTGTTGCGACACTAACCGGAATCCATCTGTCAACACTTCCGGTCCCTTCGGAGTCACATCGGTCTTTTCCGTCAACTTTCGCGCTCACAGCACAAATCGGATTATCTATTCCATCGGAGGACGACGATTTAGTTTTCGTCCCCTCTTTCTCCAAAAAAGCATTTCCTGAGGAACCTTTGGCCGAGGACGCATTACCGTGATGGCATACCTTAGAGAACTTATTGCAGGAACAGCACAGGACTCTGAACAAGATAGTCCGAAACCGAGTTCCGATGAGGCTATAGATGAAAAAATTGGCAGCCGAGTTGAAAACCAAAAGCGCGAGGTTCATCGTGAAGTAGTACTGGTAGTAGCTCAGTACACGGGGGTCGAAGAACTGACGGAATGCGAGAAGAATTTGAGACAAGAGCGTCGGGGTTGCAAACGCGAGATAAACGCCAATGACGACGATAAGGGAGCGGGTCAAGCTGCGGTTTGCCGTGTCCTGTCTGGTCATCGTTTGTCGCCTCTTCTTGGCCTTCTTCAGGGCTCGTAACAGGTTAACGTTCACAAACACAAGGATAATCACGGGAACAACGTACAGAAATAGTAGATGAAGGACAACTCTGTACCCCAAACGGTACCAAATGTTGTCGATGAGAATATTGTAGAAACAGTATGCATTTTGGTTATCCAAACAGGGCACTTGTCCTATCATTTTTGCACCAAAATATTTTGGAATGGTGAAAATAACGGACATAACCATTATTATAGCAATGGTTATTCTCGCACGGCGAACTGTGCAGAGCTCTTTGGCGAGAAATGGTCGGCAGACGGCGTTATAACGGTCAACGGCCACAGCCAAGATGAGCCAGTTGGAGGCAGTCATAAAAATGTACCCAGTGGGCCAGGAGTAGCGCATGATGGTCGGATTCATGTCCATGTACCATTTCAGGTAGCCTGGAAACGTAAAGCCAAGATATATAACGAAATATCAGCCAACAGAAATAACTATTTCATTATTTCTTCTATATTTGTTTATTATTATTATTATTATTATTATTATTATTTGTACAAAATATGTAAATATGGAACACCGCACAGTTTAAACCTCAACAGGAGTTACTCATAACCTGGAATATATATTATGATATATCATCCATTAATTGGAAATAACTATTTTACTATTTTTTCTCTCTTGATTTTTATTTTTTGTAAAAAACATGTAAATACCGAAGTAAGACACTCATATACATTGTGATCATAATTCTACATATCAGTGTTTACGTATTGTTCATATTAATAATAATAATCTTCATTGGAAAATCGCAACCCGAAGGTTGAAGTTATACAATTATGTAATTTATTTAAATGAAATAAATATTCAAGTCAAAGAAGCCTGGTCATTTTTGCACTGGTGCACTCCGTAGACGGTCTCACCTCCCTGGGGAGGATACCGCTCGGCTGCCGTATTAGGCGCTCATAGCTAATATATCATTTCTGCACTGCCTGACCAGGCCCCTGCTTCAACCCCTTAGTGCTGAGTGCCAAGCGGGGAGACAACAGGTACCGTTTACAAAGGACTGGTATGTCCCCGGACGGGTTTTGAACCCACGTCCTCCCGCTCCGGAGGCGGACACTCTAACCACAAGGCCATCCGGTCGGTAATGCCATAGATGATAATAGGAGAAGACTGTGATCAAAATAAAAATATTCTGTGATTTGTGAGTATTATATGATGACATTTATTACATCAGTTGTGATAAATAGAGCAAAATTTGAGATCCTTTGGGAAAGCTCAAAAGCAAAAAATATGGTACTGAATTAACAAAATGGTCTATAAAATACATTCTGATACAATATTTCGTCAATTTCCAACTACTGCACACATATAAATTAAAATTAAGCTTTATGGGGAACAATTAAGTCTCGAAAAGGCGATCATTAAAACCCCAGTTTATCAATTACGTTTCCGTGCTAATATTTGGCCTAATTGTCCATTACATACACACACATTAACCGAGATAAGTCAACAACTTGCCCGAACAATGGCTTAGTGCCAGCTTCTAGCTGGTACGGTGTTAAGATCAAATGTCATGCAAGCACAAACACGTCCTCTGGTGGACTTCTGACACATGGAGCCATTGCAATTGCAATTCTTCAAATGGCAAATCTTGATTGGAATTGCTTTCCAGTTCATTACTACAAGTTTGCGTCAACGGCCTGTGCTGTGATGCACACAAACACCATTACTGAATGAACTGTCTTCATACACTGTCAACCACAAGGAATCTACATGTTGCTTGGCGATAAAAAAATACACTGCACAATCTCCAAATTAAATGAATGGTGACATTAAAAAGTACAAAATATTCGCCTCCCCTTCCTTCACCCATAACATTAAGACAAAGAGTGGGTGGGCAGAGTGCATCCCAACTTTTTTTCTCCTTACAGATTGTTTGTATACGAAACAAAGGTATTTTCCCCTTTTCTGTAGCGCATAACTCTGGAAAATGCTATATTCATACTCCTATTTTGAAGACATAGCGTTCAAACATGGATTTGCAAACGTTTAAAATATGTGTGAGTCAGACTGTGTGTGCATACGTGTGCCACAGTGAGTGTGTCTGTAGCAGTGCCTGCACGCGTGCACGCGCATGTGTGTTGTAAATCGAGATCGCAATCACTTACCTGTATAAGGATAGATATTTGGAATGATGTAATGGACGAACTGCAGGGCGCACAGGCTTCCGTCCACGCAGGCTAAAGCCCGGAGAAGCTCAAAGGAAGAAGATCGATCCTTATCCACGGAGAATACAATCACCGACAGAATGTTGCCCACCACGCCTACAAGACTTATGATACCCACTATAAAGACGCCAACGATGAAATTATAGAGAAGTAGTGGGCTCGTCTCATACGCGGGCTGTGACGTCATGTTCATTGGG